TCAGATTTAAATATTATAACTTCATAAGGTACAAAATCTCATGAATCACTACCCTTCCTACTGCCCTACTGAGTCCAATTATTCACCATTTAGGCAGCTAGGAAAGGAACAGTTCTCATGATAGAACCTGAGATTTCACTCTTCTTATCATTGTTTCCTCCTATGATGCACTGACACGGACACGGACACGGGCATGTCTCAGATACTTCGACACACAATTTTTCAAAAAAGTACTGACATGACACATCGTTGACACGTCTGATTAAATTCTTTAAAATTCTTCATTTATATAGTATAAATTTAGTTTTATGCTTGTTATTAATTTTTCTTGTTAATATCTTTTAAATATAAGCATCTATTTGTTATTTATTAATAACTTAAAAGTTAAAAATATATAATATGTCTAATAAAAAAGGAAAAATGATCGTACTAAAGTGTCATAGGAGTGTCGGAATCTGATATGGACACGCTACCCTAGTTGAAAGTCTCGGATAAATTGGTCTTGTGCAGAACTATTTTTCAATAGATTGAGGTCAACTTAGAATCAAAAAATTTGTCTGGACTATGGATGCTTGAGTTCACAAATGAAAAAAACCAATACAGAAAGTCTAGCAAAATGCTATTATTAAGTTTAACTCATAAAAAAATAAAATAAAATAAAATAAATAAATAAATGAAGAAGAAGGTGTAGTAACCATAGAATTAAATATGGATATGAATGATAAACTCAGTTTGTTGCTGAATATAGGATGTTTAAACCATTCATACTCTTGAACAACACCTTCATTCTTATCTCATTCCCCTTGCAATTGGAACAATGCAGCTAAACACTGTGACCTCGTCCCTGTTCCTTTTTTTTTTTTTTTTCTTTCTTCCTTTCCTTTCCTTTCCTTTCCTTTGCTTTTTTTGTGTGTGGGTGGGTGGAATTTGGGGTGTTGATCTTGAGAAAACAAGAAAGGTGAATTGCATCTATATACCTTTTGCTTTTTAAGATACGAAAATGAAACATTGAAAAACGAAATTTAAAGTAAAATGCATTCGATTTACCAGTGAGCATAATAATTGACGCTTCTGGAAACTGAAACTTGTTCATTAAGAGATATTTCATGCACTTGGCGTCATTTAAGCATCCCTTGAGTTCGTGGCGAGAGTACCTATATGATATGCCGACGATCACTGCCTTTTTCTGGCCGTGGGCGTTGGGCAGGGGTCCCGGTGGCGCGTGGCTGTAAGGAGAAGGCGGAGCAGGAGGACCAGGAGGTGGCGGAGTAGCGTGAGAATGGGAGGGAGGCGGCGCATTACGCGCGTCAGCTATTTGGGTGACGGCTTGGCAGATGGCGCAGCGGATGGATCTGGCGCCCGGTGGCAGCTGTAATGGGGTCCGGCAATTGGAGCAATTTACTAGCATGAACATGATGTGGTGGATTTGGGATGTTAATTAAATTGTGACGGAAGAACGGGACCTTGGGTTTTGATCGGGGATTACAGGAGCAGGTGAGAGGGAGGGACAGCGAAGGAGACTTGTTGAAGAGTAGGACGTGTAGGACAATATCAATAAGTAGATGGGTAGTAGTGGTATTTCATTAGGCTTTCCGCGGATACAACAATGTACGATTGGTTCACTTCCGTTAAATAGTGTCGCTGGCGGACAATGTTGAAAGCAAACGCGTTTTCAACGTTTTAATTATAATATCTTTGCGCGTGTTTGAAATCGGGTTTTATTTTTAGGAAAATTGCAACTGCTGTCCCCAACTTTTACCCTTTCTTCACTTTTACCTTTAATCTTTATTTTTTGACATCATTATCCTAACCTTTCATTTATTGGTGGTTGCTGTCCTCATAGACTATCCAAACAAAAATAAAAAATAAAAAATAAAAATAAAAAAATAGGAGTCAAATAGACATGTTCACATAATTTGGTCAAAATAAAAGGGGTAATATTGATCATTCGCCATTTCACGTTTTATGCCTCCAGTTTGATTGGTGGTAAATTTGTTTTCTTTAGTTAGCTAGGTGTGAATTTGAGCCATAACTTATATAAGCAGCTAGTCACCCGACTGTGTCCCATTTTCTATAAGAAACCAGGTTTCCATTTGTTTATTATAATATATATTGCTAAGTGATAATCAATACACCCACATTCCATATGCTCCAACTTTTGTTTACTTATCTAAACCACTACAGAGCTTAATGGAAATATAAGACGAGAGACATTTATGTTACAAATGAATTTTAAAATCAAAAAATAATTATCTGTTTTTTACTACAGAAGCAACTTGTACACCAGGGTCAAACTGAATTCGTTCTCTGCTTAGAAGAAATAAACCAACATGTAAAGCTCAAAAATAATGTTCAATACAAATCCGGTGTAGAGGTGTAAAGCACTGTCTTGTCGACTAGACAGCCAACATATAGGACTTGCCCACAAATATTCTTGAGCCATGCCAAGCCACGGTTAAGCAACCTTCGGCTAATGGCCTGACCAATCAACATCAGGATAACCTATGTCCTCAAATGGGTAAAAGAAATAATATTATTCACCTCGAATCTAAATGATCATTGATCTATATAATAGCAAGAATACTGCCACATTGTCCAATATATTAAAGGTACTTTCAAGCTTCCTAGAACAACAAGACAGTGTTGCCAAATACACCGATGATCATCTAGACTCTACATGAATAGCATTACTCTCATGAGACGATTCTGAATAATCTTACCTAGCCCCACTAACACCAGTCTAGATAACATAAGGTGATGTATGATAGATTCACTTAAATGCAAGGGGACGTGGTCCAATTGGATATATCACTGATTCACTGTCATGCAATGGAAGACTACATTCTTGAACTTCAGTCCAAGGAAAAGAGGAAAATTAATAACTATACATTCTATACTTGAGAATATTACATTTCTATTGAATATCGTAGCAGTTATTCACATACAAGGCCGGATAAATTAGGGGTTTCCCTGGGCACCAGCCTTTCATTTTATACCCACCTCAACTTTACAAAAACAAAATGAAAAACACAAGCAACATAGAGACCTCTCTCTCTCTCTCTCTAACCTGGTCGACACGATCATGTCAGCAAAGAACATGAGCTGATTCAAAATTCAGCTTCCACCAAGAAACTAAATTGTATTTCGAAAGAACAAAGTAAGAATAGAGGTCAAAACAATAAGATGACCCATGAATATCACTACCAGTTGAACCTCCTGCAACGATATTTTGTGCTGAAGTCCATTTTTGAACTGACTATTTAGTTAGTTGCAGATTCATTTACCAGGAAAATTGGAATCTCGTCTCTTCAATTATGCATTTGCTTTTGGACAGCATTCACTGCTGCTACTCTAGCTGCATGAGCTGCCCTGTTAGCCGCTGCTACAGCCCTGTTCACTCTTTCATCCACCTTCGCCACATCATAAGCTTTCTCTGCTGCTCGTCTTGCTTCCTGATAATTAAACAAAGAACTCATCACAAAGCCCATTTAGAGCAATCTTTCCACGGCTGTCATGGATCTAGATAGTTGTCATTAAAATAACAAAGATATCAGTTTCTATCAACAGAATTTAAAAACTTAAAATGCAATGTAAACATATACTACTAGCGAATTTGTAAAAATTACAGGCAAAATATATGCATCAAGTAATGAGTCAATCATTGTAAAGCATATTGATGTAATATTTGTTGTACGAAGAACTGTGCCAACAATTCCATTCCAATCTCAAAACAAAGTCCTAAATGCATGAAAGAGAAGATTACGGAGATGGCTTTAAGATGCAACTTGGGGGGGGATCTAAACTTTCCTTGGCATAAGATCTAATCGCAATTGACATCTTTTTAATGAAAGGAGGATGAGCACTTGACAAACAAATTTTTTTCGAGTAATAGAATAAATAAATCAACTCGATTGCAAGGCTTGGGATAAAAATGATACCAGTGTTGATCTAACTTTTCGTTGGCATAAGATCTAATCGTAGTTGACATCTTTTTAATGAGAGGAGGATGAGCACTTGACAAACATTTTTTTTTTTTTTTCAAAAGTAAAACTTAAAATGATTGCAACTTGCAAGGTCATCTCAGTAGAGAGATTTACCTCTCAATACGTAATTTTGGCTTGGCTTTTGGTTTAAGTAACAATCACAGATGGAAGAGAGTATGAAGGGACATAAGATGAAATCATTGAGACTAGAGGATAATGAGCTAAGCTTGTTTAAGGGTAAGGTCTTTAGAGAAGCTGCTTGAAACTCAGACGATACTCCAAACAGTGTGGAACAAGATTACTTATTTTATACAGAACCAGTGAAGGAGATGTTAGGAAAAACTAAAGAGGAAAGGCCTACTGCTTAGACACGGTGGAGTAACAATTTCTCGAGGGGCAAACAACATATTATGAGAGGCAGCAAAAGATCGGGATCAAAAGGAAGCCTAAAAAGGTGTCAAGGAGATAAAATAGAAAGCATAAGACAAATTTTATAAATGCTTTCCTACAGACAGAGAGTATAATCCATATAAATTATCTAAGGTCAAGGAGCACAAACCATTAAGCCCCTATTTGGTGTGGATGAAAAGTCCATAAAAATTTATAATTAAAATCAACAATTAATTTTAGGGAAATTGCAACCACGGTACCAAGCCTTTCATTTAGTAGTAGACTTGACCCAAACCTTTTACCAAACTTTTCAAAAATTCACACCTGAAATCCAAATGGGTGGAAAACATCCATTTGACCGATAGTTAACCCAAATAGTAAACTTTCAAATATTTTAACTAACTTTTAAAAGGGTAACATAGTAAATTTACAATTTATTACAAAAAACAAAATTATAATAATTATATCAAAAAAAGAAAAACAAAAGCCCAACCACCCTTTTTCTTCTTCCCCGACCCCATCCAACTCCCTTACTCCAAAACCACCCTACCCAGCGGCAGTGACCGGCCATCATCGTCGCAACCACCACCAACCCTCAACAATGGCAACAGAACCGTCACCCTAAAGGCATTCCATGGAACTATATTCAACCTATAATTTTTCTATTTCTTACTCCACTACACTCAATTTCTCATTCAAAAAATCCTTTATATGGCTGTCCAACCCTTGGTTTTTCCCTCAACCTATTCATCCAACTGCAAAGCAACAAACACAGACACAACACTCCTTTCCAGTTCCAAATGCACAACCCTCTCACTCATCTTAATCAACTCGCTCTGCACCTTCTCCATCTCAGAGTTATACCGAGTCAATTCTGATTCTAGGGACCCTTTCTATTGCATGGGCGAGTCCAACTGTTGATATATTATGCCTTGGTTTCTTGTATTTTTTCTTACTTTTTTGTAGCAAACAAGAGAATGGAAGGTATGAGGTTTATGGTTTTTTGAGACTTCCATGGTTGAAGTAAAAGGGAAATGCACCCTTCAATTGGTGGAGATAAAGGGTGAGTGCAGGCGACGGCTAGAGAGAATAAATGAAAGCGAACGTTTATATTTTTTTTATTAATTATTATTATTATTATTTTTTTTTTGGAATGCAAATTAGGGATATTGATCTTGGGTTTGACTAGGTGTTGGCAATGGAGGATGGTGGGGTTGTAGTAGGCCGTCGACGAAAATGGTGGTTGTTGGGCACTTTGATTTGTGACCGACAAGAATGGGAAAGTTGAAAGGGTGGCAATAGCAGCAAAAGATGAGGTAAAAATGGAAGTTGAAAAGCAAAGAAAGAAGGCATTGGTACTGGCGATGGATGATTTTCAAGAGGTGGGGAAGAAAGAGGTCGGTGGTTGGGGTTTTGTTTTTTGATATAATTCTTATAATTTTGTTTTTTGTAAGAAAATCTAAATTTACTATGTTATCCTTTTAAAAGTTAGTCAAAATATTTGGAAGTTTACCATTTGGATTAGGGTGTGAATTTTTGAAAGGTTCAGTATCGTGAATAGCACAAATAAAATGTTTGAATCAAGTCTACTACTAAATGAAAGGTTTGCTACCATAGCTGCAATTTTCTCTTAATTTTAACCACACATTTTATGGGATCCACAACTTTTCAACCACACATTTTGTCAACGTTTATCAATTCTATTAAAAAAAATTTAATCCACATCAAACAAGAGCTAAGTGTCGAGCGCATTAGGACAAGGACTTTCGAGTTTTAGAAATGGATAATAACATTTAAGAGAATGAATATGTGCTTCTTTGTGATATTGTTGAATGAAAAGGGGACAATTATTCAAATAGAAAGAGGCTACTATCACTGGGAAAAGTAGAGATTTCCTTTCAAAAAAACCCGAAAAAGTTGGAAGCTTGCCGGTCTTTGGAGCTAGAGGTATTCCTATTGGAATTTAGAAGTGTCTGTAAGAAGTATGCATATCTTGGTTGACAAAGTCATTTAACAAATCACATCAACAAAGAAAGATACGTGGTGAGAGGAAGGGAAAAAAAATTACTAAACCCCATTTATAAAACTAAGAAATACTAAGAATTGAGAAAATTATTGTAGCATTAAGCTAATAAATCATACGACAATATTTTTAAGGAGATAGTGATAAAGAAAATAACTAACAATTGATGGTTACAGATACAAAATCGGTTTTAAGTTTGAAAAATCAACTACAAAAACCATTAAAACCGATGGAGTAATAAAGGGAAGTAAAGAAAGATCTTAATATGGTATCACTGATTTAGAAAAATCAAATGATAAGGGTACATACGGATGTACATGGTGGGTCTTAGAAAAGGAGTTAAAACCAAGTTAGAAAAATCAAATGATCGGAGTATATACGGATGTACATGGTGGGTTTTAGAAAAGGAGTTAAAACCAAGTATATTAATGTTATTGAGGATGTATACGTGAAGATTGTGACTCTAGTTTATAATGATAATGAGAACGACTAGAGACTCGAAAGATTTCAAATTCTGTAAAGGCTACACCAAGAACCTGCTTTAAGTTTGAATTTGCATATCTCATTTATGGAAATTGACAGTGGTAAACCTAGAAGAAAAGGTATAACCAAAATCATATGAAGGGATGCAAATGAAAAGAACATGAAAAAGAATAATCATATGGCCAGCCCAAATAAGTCTTTAGCTGCATTGGGTTTGGTTCAGAAATGGTGAAGAGAAGAAAACAAATAATTTATTGAAAATGTGGTCCACATCATTAAAATCATTTTTCCTAGTTTAATAGATCTGTAGCTGCTACTTGGAGGTAACAAGCTTGTTATTAATTGCCATTTTTGAGGATAGAGTATTAATATTCTCAGGAAACAAATTAGCACTTCACTAAATTTAACTAAGCCCTTGTTTGAGCTCCCTTTTTTTTTTTTTTTTTTGGAAAATTTTCTAACTTTTTCATCACATTTTTTACGAGCCCACAACCCGAGCTCTTGAACTTTTGGCTCGTGGGCTTTTGTCCACAAGCCGCTCGAGAGCTCGACGAGCCGAACCTTACTCATTGGATCCCACCCTTGCTAGGCTCGTACGAGCCGCCCATGAGCCGAGCTTTAACGAGCTGAGCGGCCAAGCCGAAGAGCTGCTCAGCCCGTTTAACATCCTTTCATTCCATTTATCTTAATTAATGATTGTTTCATTTGCCGAGTGATTTATTTTTCTCTTTCAAATCCATTGCACTTTATGCAAAGTCTAGACGGCATATACTTTTCTTATTCATGTAATGTCGAAAGACAAATTTATTTATTTCTCAAAGTCGAGATTTGTGAACTGTGGATATTAACGGGAAAACGTTTCCAGTTTGCTGCTGTATATCTATCAAAGTAACTACTTAACTGATGGATTCGACTGTTACATAGGCAAAATTAGCTCATGGATTGACTCGGATTCTGAAGATGAATTGCTTTGAAGCAAGAAATAGCTTGAGCCTCTCATCTATCCTTGCAGATGAAATTTTGTAATTTCAATAATCATTTATGCTATTAAAAAAAAAAAAAAGTACCATAACTAATTTGACACAAATTGGAAGTTCATTGTCTTTTTAAAATAAAAACTATAAACACCAAGGAAATGGGAAAATGACACGAAAATCGGACATTGTTTCAATAGGCTTAATTAAATATGATTAAATGGAACTCGAAACTTGTCACATTTTAATTCAACATATCGCATTACTCAAAAGAGAAGTTTAATCCATTGAAACTAGATAGTATTATTCATTAATAAAACCATACGAGATTAAAAAGGGTAGCTTTCCATGATTCACCATCCGAATCTCACTAAAATTTGTGAAAAGACGCTACATCATCCAAATCAATTGTAATCAATCGTCGTTCATATTTTGTGAAGTCTTTCTTGCTACTTCAGAAAATGTGGCGCTTAAACACAATGTTCTAAGCTAACTATATTTATCGATCTGACCCTTTTTTTCCTTTTCTAAATATATTAACATTGGTTGTAAATCAATTACTTCAAGTAACTGAAAATGAAAAATTATACAACATGAGATGAAGCTGCAGGAATGATGACGATGATGGGAAGAATTCACAGAAACCGTCTGGTGACCCCTGGCTGCCTCCGAATTTTACATTGTCAACAAACATACAAACCAAGTTGCATTAACGGGGAGATGTTACTCACGGGGACGAGCAAGCCAAAGAGAGCTAAGTGCTCGAAGCCGAGAGAAGTAATCGTTGATGGCAAGTAGAGCACGAGCTGATTGCCGAGTTGTCAATATACTATGCATTCGTTGCAAAGTCTGTTGCCGCAAATTGTCAGCCTGCAATACAAGTAACGCCTCGTCATCATTAATCAAATCATACACAGATGGAATTATACTTCAACACAATTTCTCACATTTACATGTCAATATGACCGATGAGCCCCATATGATCTCTATTATGCTCTACACAGTCTTGTTCCTGTTCAGTTACCTTCTTCTTGGGATATGCAGAAATAAAATGAACAAAGAGACGGGTGCTGGCTAGGGGATAGGATTGATAACAGAAAACAAAAGGTACAAAGAGCAAAAAGATAACCTGACGAATGAAGCCTTCCAGAGTTCCCAACTTTCCCATAGCCATTGCCATTTGACCCATGTAGTTGGCAACATTTCCTGTTGATGGGCCGAGTGAGGCGGCCAATGTTTCGGCCAAAGACTGCTGCAATGCTTCCATTCCCTGTGACAAGGCGTCTTCAGCCTGTTGAGATGACTGTTGTAAGTTGTTTATTGACATTAACTGTTGCTCGGTCAAGGGCTCTAACTGATTTAGAAGAAGCTGCAACCAGGTAGGTCAAAGTTTTAAAGACTAATAGAACACCTACAAAAGGTTGGCACTTAAACCATAAAAAACAAAACAAACAAGCAAAAAGATATGAACCAAGAAAATTCACTCTTCCGGAATAAAATAAAATGTGCACAGTTGCACGCTCAATTAGGACAGGAGAATTAATTCAAGTAGTGTACGGTCACGAAAACAACAGAGAATCCAATAGCTATCCCTCTTTGACCTTATTGCTTTAAACTGAATGGAGTGACTGCGCTCAAAAAGCAATGCTCTTCAATACATGAAATTTTGAAATCTTCCAACAAACGTCAGCCAAAAATCTACTTTCACTGAAAGAGGGGAAAAAAAAAATTCTAGGGAATGTGATCTTGATGTTAATCACTTCCAGTTCACCTGGGATTTGAAAGCAAAAAAGGGAAAGAGTAGGTGGGATACTTTGTCTGGTTCATAGCAAAGTGAAGGAAAAAGTAGCAAACTAAATCATCAAATATATGTTCCTCTTCAACAAGAGGAAAATTTGTAAGCTAAAGAAAAAGAACAATGAGTGCCTTTCCAGTAACAGTAAATTCCTATGTATCTTTTCAATAGAAGGTTAGTTCCTAATTAATCTTTGTAACTTGCATACAAATATAGCAAAGGACACGGAATCAACACTAAACCTTCATTCTTTTATTATTATTTTTTTTTTTTTTCCAATTCAATCTTTTCTTTCCCATCCTTTCCTATTTAGGTAACAACACAGGACAAAATATTTGATTATGACATGCACGTACACATAGTTAATGGGGAAGCAACAAACTTAACTCCAAGCGGTTGGAGAAGGGGCCCGGGTGGGGGGCATAAAAGGATTTGAAACACTGGAATATTAATTCAAGTGACACAAAGGGCATGATTAAACAGGTATTACTAAACAACAAAACAGAACTTAGTATTTCGTAATTTAACGATGAAAACAAGTTTTAATAATTTTTCAAAATTTTTGCAAGAGAAGGATGAAAGCTAAAGATGTGAACATGATCTAAATCATAAGCATCATCTTGTCTGAACAAAACACGCCAGACATGACAGATCACAAATACATACAACTTGAAGTCTATGCAAAAATATTGAACAATAACGACAAACTCAAACTTTACTACCTACAGAAGACTTGATTTATTGACATGAAATGTTTAGGGATCAACTATTAAATAAAGCCTACCATTTTATATAGTAATACATCAAATGACAATATGCATACATCGTATAAACAATGAGAAACGCTTAAAATAGGCAGAATGCAAATATGCATCACCAAGATTACCTGTAATGGTAGTGTCCAAGACCATGTTTAACGCCCCACTTAAATTCCCCCACATAACGGCTCCCATCTTCACAAGTATGAATACCACACCCATGGCTCTGCCCACTAGACCACTCCCCAGCATAGACATCTCCTGTATAAAACCTGTACACCCCAAAGCCATGCCTAAGCCCTTGTCTGTACTGCCCTCTATACCGGCTACCCCTCGCCCATGTCTCAACTCCATATCCATCATACTTACCATCCACCCAATCTCCTTCATATCTCCCACTCATGTAATAGTAATACACCCCACTCCCACTACACTTCCCCTTATGATATTCGCCCTCATACACATCCCCGTTGTTGAATGCCTGTACATAAGACCCTGAAATTGCCTTCTTATCCGCCTTGAGTGAAGACCCAATTGACCATAACACCGGTAATTGTGGCCAGTTCACTTGTTTTTTAGCACGAATTTTAACTGGCAACGACCTGGCAAGGCACAACCATATCGTGGGGAGTCTTGGAATGGCCAAATTGAGCGAAAACAAGAGCGCAGCAGAGAAGGCAAAGGCGGAGAGGAAATCAAGAATAAAGGAGCTGGAAGGGTGGGAGACAAGGAAGTAAAAGAAGGGAAGACTGAGGAGTAGTATGAGGCGGAGATGGAGGCGCATACGACCGCGTAGGTAACGAACATGGTGGTGGAAGTGGGTCAAGAATTTCTGAGACCTCGTGTAAAGAAGATTAAATTTCGAAGGTGGGTGTGGTCCAGATATCCCATATCTGTGAAGGGCATTTGACAAAGTCGGAGTCTTGGTAAGCGAACTTGAAATTTGTTGAACATTAGGTCTCTTCAAAGGTGAGGGTTTGAGGGGAAACCGATCATTTTGACCCTTCAGTCGATTTTCATCATTGATAAGGATCTGAAGGGTACTATTATTCACGTAAGACGACGAATTTGAAGGATGGTGAGTATTTGGGTGAAAATTTTGGAAAAGATGTGGATGTTTTTGTGTAAGGGAAGAAGGGGGCAGTGGGATAGGGTTGAAATCGGAAGAGATGCCACTGCTTTCTGTTCCGATCTGAACTTCTGATTTCTTCTGACGCATTACATATATAAAACCAAACCCTCCCAAATTCACAAAACAGATTCAATGGAAGATTTAGTGCGTGCGCTTGTGAGAGAGGAAGAGAGCGGAGGCCACGAGGAGTTTAACGGTGTCTGAGAAGGATTAAAAGTTTGATACCACTGGCGACCGGCCGCAGAAGGCCTTGGACTTGTTTTAAAGGATTTGCCATTTTTATATTTGCCCCTCATCTATTGGATTAATACCGAAATTGCCACTCTGTTTGATGGATCCAATAATTATTTCGTTTTGGTCCTTCTATTTATAAGAGTTGCAAATTAGTATCTTTTATTGTGAACCTTTTTCAAAGTAAATGAAAATTTGCTTTCCTAGTAATTACTACTAAATGAATAATAATTTATAAAATTAGAAATGTTCAACTTTGGCATCCCCTTGTTGAATCAATAATAGGATCAAAGGAATTGAATGGTCGGATTGATGTAGTTGATTATCGAGTAGACACGATTAAAAATTTTTATCTATACTTACTTGGCTAATCGTATCTTTAGATAAATGTTATACTTGAGAAAGAAGAAAGCGTCAAAACTAGACATGCAAGGGTTTCTAACTTGAAGGGATGCTAGCAGAGGTAGAAATATAAGTTCAAGGGTGCCCAAATCCATTTAATTTTTTATATGTAATAATAATAATAATAATTGTCTTTCCCTCGCTCCGCTTCTGAATATTAGCAAACTGTTATAAAATGAGAATAATGCTGCTGGTACATTATGGAATTACATAATGATTTACATAAGATGAATTTTTAAAATAAACTCTCTATCCAAACAATTCCTTGAGGTGCAAGTACTGCTGACTACTCATGATTGAGTCAAAATTAAACAAATTATCCCTTGCTAGTATAACATTCATGTTTTAATTAATGATCGAAGTCAAACCAATTATTTATTTTTACATAAGATCCAAATTAATAATCATCCACAAAAATAATATTATCGTTACAGAAATATTATATGATTCATAATATTCACAAAAATATTCATTCTTCATCAAGTAGATAGTAACTCGAATTAAGAGTTCTAACTTGGCATACCCAACTATTTAGTACATTAAAATTAAACATAGTTGAAGAAAATGATACGAACAGTGAAAGATACGACTTCGGATATAGCTAATACTTGTTGAATGTTCTATGCACAACTTCACATCCAAAACGAACGAAGGGAGCAACGTAAATATTTAAATTGATCAATATGGGAATCTCCCTTCATTCTTAATGTTAAAGTAGAATGTGAATTAAGACACGTTAATGCAACACTTGCATCTCGTGAGATTCTAGAAGAATAAGAAAGAGGCACAAATAGACTTTTGGCCACATGAAAAGGAAAGTGGGAAAAGGGTGCTTTTCAACCAGGGTGGGGTCGAAAAGGTGACCATGGTGTGCTTTTCTAAATGGTTGAATGTTCAATCTCAAGTCTCAATCTAACTTGTAGTTAAGATGCTAGCAATTTCTTTCACTCGACCCTACCCACCATGGCCCTCATTCCTAAGAGAAAGTAAGGATGAAGACTTGACCGTTTTGTAGGGCTAGAAAGCAAGAATGGAAGTGTCCTACCCGCTAAGAGCGAAGTCTTTCATTTCTCGACGTTAAAGTATGAATAAACTCAAATTAGAAGTCGTTAGTCTATGTTGAAATTATTGTGTTGTAAAAAATCGATAGGATCCCATATGTAGGTCCCGTAAACTCAAAATGTTATTAAGTGAAAAGTATGTGTTAATCGATTATTCACAGAGTTTCATGTTTCTTTTGTTTCCATTTTGCTTTATTGGTCAGATGTAATCAATTAATTAGAAAGCATTGATCAGACAAAATAATTGTAGAAGTTGAGTTAAAAGGTCAATCGATTGGTCTGTTTAACCTTTATTTTTAGTATTATTGATCTGAAAATTCACCCACTCATCATGTAACTCAATAGGCCACTGTATTTTAAGTGCCCAACTATAGAGAGAAAAAAAAAATAGAATAATCATACATTTTAATGGTAGTTAATTTTTTCAAGTCTATTTCTCCATCATTTAGTGGAAGATAAGTATATGGCTGAAATTTTAAATTACTAAATCTTGTGCCTTTGACATGAATACAGATTGGTCAATAGAACCAGAAGATAACAAGAATGATTGATACGTCTGAAACTACGGTATTTGTATTGGAATTGTATCTATAAGGTTTAGGACACGAGTAACTACAAGAGGGGTAATTTAATGATGGGTTAATTTCACAACTACAAATATTTAGGGGATCAATTTAAAACATCAGGTAAATCAAAAAGTATTTCAAAAATCAGAATGGCTTCTAATTTTTTTTATTTTTTTTTTCTTCCTCTCTTATGTCTTAAAAAAAAAAAAAAATCTTTTGTTTGACTTTAGGTTATTATTATTTTATTCTTTAAAAAAAAATTTCGATTTGACTTTAATTTCAAGTTATTAAAAACTTTATCAGTATAAAAGTTAAAAGTGACTTTATCTGATAAAGAGTTAAATAAAATTTAAACTATGATATTATCTACGTTATTTAATTTTGATCTTGAGATTTATTATTTTGTTGAAAACGTCGAAAGCAAGTATGGAGTTCCTATAAATTTATTAAGTATGATTTGTCTGATTGAACTTGCATTTTGAAACCTTGAAAATTGTATAATTGACTAATGGTATGAATTATTAAGTAAATATAGCATTTTATAATTTGATGTGTATTATTTTAATTATTAAATAAATTTTTAAAATGATACTAAAAAATAAGAAGACTTTTTTATGCCTAGGTTTACTTACGCTCGTTAAGTTAGAAGTTTCGCCTCCATGTTTAGCCACGCTTTACGGTTTTCAGAACATTGTTACTAACACAAACCATCATGCAATTGATCATCGGAAGATTTTTCTATTTGACCTATCACTATTCCTTTTTATTGAAAGGTCTATATTACCCTCAATGAAAATATTCTTTCTATATTGCAATATACATCATAATCTTTTAAACATTTTATCTTATATTTACCCTATTTTGAAATTTGAATATAATTTCATTCTATGATCTAATAAATTGAAATAATCTGCAACATATTGTTCACAATTATTATTTAATATATTATATTCTTCAGAAAATGCATCCATATTTTCTAATTGAGATGACATATTTTTTATTACTTCTATCATTCTTTCTAATAAATTATCCAATCATTTAATTGTATATCCTGGAATTTATTCAAATGATCATCAAATCATGCAATTAATCCCTACAATTTTTTAAGATCTTAAAAATATTCATTCTAATTTTAGCAAAAGTTTAATAGTTTTACTTTAGGTTTGATTTGGACTTGTATTCTTAGAATCGAGTGACCTTCGAGTTCCGAATCTTAAACTATTTCCTTCAAGGCCTCCTGCCTTCATGGAATTGTTACTGTTTCAACTACTTGCTCTCACTGTATTAATTTCTAAAGAATGAAATCCTAGACTTCTGTTAAAGAAAAACTCTCTTTTTGCTAAAATAAGAAGGAACTTTTTATCAGATCTATCAAGAATCTATGGGAATATAAGATTTAGAAACTCATATTCATATAAAAAATATTGAAGTTTTATTTCTATCATAATTTATACAAGACTTCTATTTTGTACAAAGGGATTTCCAGAAAGACTGATTTTTCAAATTAGGAATGGGTTTTTTGAGTAATTATTGTTTACAACTCAAGATTTCAAGAGAAGATGATATTCTCTATGGCAATGTGTCTATTTATACAAGTTTATGAGACTCTATTAGATCATTGAGTACATTGGCAAGGCACACTTGCCTTTATTATTTTCTTCATTGGGGTCTACATTTTCACATGTTGCTTTTAACTTTTTATCCAAAGAGCATCTTTTTCTATTGTTACTATTTATCTTCAATATCTTTACATGCAGTTGTATTATTGTTCTTCATTCATCTTTGACAAATGTGCTCTATTATTGTCTTCATTTCTTCACATGCAGTTGGGGCACTCCCTTAGCTGGCATGATTCTTTTATAGTGGTAGGACATCCTGAAAATTGATGTATATCAAATATTGTAATATAGTCTTTTAAAATTTCTAATTTTGCATATCCTCCATTGGATACCAACATCCAATTTTCATATTGACACAAGTAAGAGAATTTTTTATCAAACAATTTTTTGGGAATGTTGTAGATGGCTTTAATTCCAAATACTCTTTGTCTGATCTATGATTTGGTCACTGTTGGAATTTTTCTATTATTTTCTGTAACATCAATTTGGAAATTGGCTGCAACATATCCAATTGAAATTATGTGTTCAACTGGATAGTAAACAACTCCATCATTCTGGACTGATTGAATAGAATTTCAATTATATTTTCCTTCTCTTGGCAAATCTGGATACTTCTTTAATAAATATGTCATCAAACTTCAAAATTTCAATAAAATCTTTTCCTGAATATATCAAATCTATAATATGTCATAATTTTTATAAATGAAGGGTCTCCTCCTTCCATGGCTGTTATTTTGGAATAAACATTATTTCCCGGAAAAATAAAATATGAATCACTTATTTTTATTTCATAAACAATTTTGACTATTTCGACATATTTTTCTTCTTTTGGATATAAAGGGATTTTATCTTCTTGGTCTATGATGTTGATTGTTTTAGTATCTCCATGTATCATAACTTTCTTGGTTGATGATATAGAAATGGAATATCCTTTATTATCAGTTGGTATATTGTCACGTATGGGTTCACTGCTGCTTTCAGCTGTCCCTGTTTTGGTATTGATTTGAAAAACTCATTTCTGAGCTCTTAGTATATCTGTCTCATACAATATATCTTTTAGTTGTGTTGCAATAGCATCAACTTGATTTTTGAGTTCTATGGCATATTTTTTATGCTCAGTAGTGATATTCAACAATATTTTTATATTTGAGTTGAGCATCTCTGATATCTGGGTTGCTCCAGAGTTAATATCTTTGAATTCTTCTTTAAAAAAGTATGTCATTTTTTGTATATGTATGATAGATTGGTATAATTCTATGCCCTTAGCTTTATCCATCAGCAAATTCTATGTTTCTGCTGAGAAAATTTGTAAGAAAATTATTAACTCCTTTAATATAGATTATATCGAAA